CGAGGGAGGGACAGGAAAGGAGTGGACAGCTCTGGCCACTCCTCCAGCAGCACACCCTCACCAAAACACTCCTTGTCTCCAGCCAGAACCGAGTCCTTCAAGCAGAAGCTTGTGTCCAAGATGACTCCGCGAAGACGACCCACCCCGGTGTCCCCTCTGGCTCTGCAGCACCTCCCCGGTCTCCCTCGCACAGTCATCACCACCCCAAACTCCTCCCCTCCCGGCTCCGTGCAGAACCTGAGCTCCGCCTCCTTCACCACGCCCCCCAACTCTCCCCCATCTACACCAAGAGACTGGAGCGGGCACAGCGTCACAGAGTCCCAGCTGGTCATGCACAAGAAGTCCAGAGTGCCTGCGAGCTGCCCACACACCAAAGCACCCTTCCCCGCACACCTCACGCCCTGCTGCAGAGAGCCATGTCTCCCTCGTCAGAGGGCCCCGGGCTCCCGGCCAGACGCTCCACCACTCTCCCTCGACAGCACAAACACAAGACTATGAGCAGCTCTGAGCTGACCCGCTCCACCTCCCACTACCACCCCAAGAAAGAAGAGGTCAAACTCTCCACGACCCTGTTGTAGCCACAACACTCTTCTTTCTTCTGTCGTTACGTTTCATCAAGCAAGGGGCTGCCCCCCACTCTCTCAATTGTCTCTATCCTGGATCCTCACACCAGGCACTACTCACTGTGCCTCAAGATTCACACCCAAACTCTTTGTCTCAGTGTCATAATTTACAGTCTGTGTGTGAATGTGTGTTTCTCTATGCAGCGGTGTTTGTGTGTTGCCTTTTCTCTCCGTTTGTCTGATCCAATTGTCACCTGTATTTGTTGTATGTTGCCTCGTCTCTCAAAAAATTTATTTTCTCAATTTGAGAGTGAGCAATAAGTCGCCACCTATAATTATACATGGTCAAGACGTGGCCTGCATTTTACAGTAATGAGCAAGTCTATTATGATTAGCTGCCATGAGTGTGAGAGAGTGAGATTTCTGCAGCACAGTGATGAGGTTTGTGTTTGCTGTTGCCACTAAGAAGGTTCCAGCTATTGTAACAGCACACAAAAAGGTCAGGTGGGAAAGGGTCTATTTTGTGTTCACCTGAGCCCAGGAAGTCATTGTGTAAACTGTTTATACAAGTACCGTGTACTTCATACTTTTGTTATCTGGGACACACAGGCAAACTTTAGACTGATGGGGTTTCTGGAAATTCCAGTGGTATATAGCAACTACATAGGGCTCAGGTGAAATCAAACTTTAGGAACAAGCTTTCTGGCGAGATAACACAAGTAAGTCTATTAGAGTGTGACCTTACAACTGCTCCACATGATGTTACGCAGCATGCACATTCTTCAGTGTGACAGCATTGGATATCATAAGGAATAATAAGGGAAATGTGTAGGCTCCCTTAGCCAGTCAACAATAATGTGTGAAGATACCGGTATGTTCAATATGGATGTAAGTGAGGTTGGTTCGGCTATTGTGGAGCTGGCACTGTGGAAGAGAGAGAGGAAAAATCTAAGTGGTGACAGCAAAGCGAGCCCACCTAGTAGATCTGAATGCGTGAGAATGTGTTCTATGTATGATGTTGTGACAGGCTAAACTGGAAACCGCACGGCTGCCGCACTGTAATGTTTACGTGATTCTAAATACACGTGAAAACAGGCGGGAAATACTGAACTCCTCGCTTTCAAGCTCGTCAAAAATGTGTTGCATTCCTCTAGTGATTTGTATTTGTGAGAACAACACAAGGGATAAGGTGTATGACCAGTTAAACTTACCATTGTACTTGGCAGCAATCTCCATGGCAAGGGCACGGTCTTCGCCTCCAAAAGGATGAGCCACTGCATCCACCAGCAGTTTCCATGACGGATCCCCAAAACTCTCTGTGTCATACGACTTCTTCAACCATTCTTTAAGCGTTTCTAACAAGTTGTTTTTGATGTCGTTTTTCTCTGCCTCGATTCTGTCGAGAAGATCAGGGTCCAGTCTGAGAGCCAGTCCCACCTTCTTCCACTTGTGAGCCACTCCCACCAGTTCAGAGCAGACACTGAAGAGATCTTTGATGCCTGCACATACGAGAAACACCTAGCTCCACTAATTGACACCGTCTTACACTATTCACCAGGCTTTCGTATTGCTGCAGTGCTACTACAAATACATTAACGCACACAATAATATGTCATCATTACCAAGTGTTCTCTCCACTGGAGTTTGAGGACCACAAGAAGCGGTCTGATTCCCAGGAGGAACTGATGAGGCAGCAGATGCTGACACACCTGCAAATACAAAGGCACACTGCTATAAAACCCCACACCACTCAAATGGTAAACAGTAATGTGGTTTCACCTGGTGTTCCGTGTTCTGGAGTAGAAGTCTCATCACCACTTGCAGAAGGAGTTTGGTATTGAACAAGCAGTAGAGGATTCTTGAGAGGACTCACCTGTGTGCACACAAAAGGCAAATGCCACCCAATGGACGAGAGCTCTCTCGCTGACTAGATTGAGAATGCGACAGCTTAAGTAAAACATCGCAGAAGTGGCAGAAAAATTTAAAATAAGCACGTGAACCAAATGCTTGCGCAAAATTGCGTCATTGCCACCACTATGTAAGCTCGCTCCCCCTCGCCACTTTGCACTGGTTTCAAAGTACTGTGAAAAATTAAGCTGTGATGCTCTATTCATTATCCATTGTGCACTCCTATATATACCACCCCCCCCCACCCCCCCTTCCCAATCTTCCCTTCTGCCATCTACACATTTCCCAGTCCTCCACCTAGGATATATAGGACCAGGCGATTCCTGGTATCAACCGACTGGTCTACAACCGTTGCGCATGGCAACTCCTGAGCCCTGCCTCAGGAGCTCTGCGCCAATCCAGAAGACTGCGAGGTCAGAAGCCTCTGCCGCCGTCGTCCAGTCCCACGGAAGTGGTCGGGAGCACCGCCCTGCCCCCCTCTGGGGGGCCACCCCCTTTGGGGGCTTCGCCCTTCCCTTAGGATGCGACTGAGCTGCCAAGTAAAATTCTTTGAACAACAGATCTCCCTATCTAACTGATGCAGGAGGGATTCCAACGCGCTGCGACAAACAGACCCGGTGCACTCCACGCAAGCGACTCACATGAAGCAGAGCGATGTAGTACATACATCAATGCATAGTCTGTCCAGTTGCATCGAAGTGAACAAATTTTTAATGAGCGAAAAGATCATGGAAAACTTGGCTGTGCAAACAGGCTGAACTAGCAAGAAAACCTGCACCGACAGCTTTTAGACCCACAGCCTGCACAGCTAACACACATGCAGTAAACCTACATTAGACAAAAACAAGCCCCTCCACAGACTGCAACTTGCGTACAGAAAGAAAGAAGCTGAAAGACGGCAAAAGTCAGGGAAGCAGACGACTGTTGCTATTCTAATAGTGACCGCTTACTGTAGCCTATGCACTTGCATTACTCACATGTAGTTTGGTTCCAGAGAAATTGGGTGGTGAGGTCTCCAAATTGATTGGTGTCGCTGGTGCAGATCCACTCCTTGTCCTGGATGTAGGCTGGGTGTGGTCTGTCTGTGTGGGTTCTCGGACACACGATTGCCGGCCGTGGCTTGTTTTCGGAGTAGCCCAGAGTCTCGTCCACGGTCTCGATCCCACCAAAGACAGCCTTTCGCACGTGCCCCCACAGCTCCTTCTCCCACATCTTTGAGGTGAACACGTGAACCTCGAAGTACTCGTAGCGATCAACGAAGGTCACCGACCCGGGATACTTGGGTACCTCGAACTGGATGCAGTCGCGATACAGACATGAAGGCTCCTGCGACGAGAGATGCAGCTTCCAGGAGTAGGGGCTGTGGTTTTCAGGAGAGAGGACGTGGGACATGAGGGAGCAGAAGACGCCACTCTGGGGACCACCATCGGTGAAGTCCACCACTAGGCCTCCGGCTGACGAGCACCTCTTTTCCATGTCGCTGGCAGAGATGTGTCGGAGGACGCTCGGCATGAACCAGGTCTCTGGACCCTCCTCGTTCCACAGCCTGGCAAACACCAGCAGCTCCTCCAGCAGGTGGATCAGATCGTTACAGCTGAAGACCCCTTCCTTGTAGTGGCTGCAGAACCTCTGGTCTTCCAGAAACTCCTTTGTGATTCGACCAAACATCATGAACTCCTGCCAGCCGGGAGGCAGGAGATCCACGTCTGCTGCTTCACCTGACGACATTTCCTTCTCTGGAGAGGGATCCACGGGGGTCGTTGCTGCAGTGGCTGACGATGTCTCTGACGACTCCTCTCCTGCAGCTGACGGCACTTCGGATGATTCACTGGCAGAATCTGACGCTGGCTCCGAAGGATTGCTGTCGTCTGATGGCGTCTCGAGTGGTTCGGTTGTCTTCTCTCCAACATCTGGTGTGTGTTTCTCTTTTGGTTTTATGTTGTCAGAGGATTCGTCTTCCTCTTCCGGCTCTCGCAGCTCAAACATGAACTCCACCAGCTCCGAGACCTTGTCCAGCAACACTTGTGGGTCGATGAACACGGTTTTTGGGAGGATGGTGCGGAAATAGAACATGAGGCTCACTTCGTGGAAGTGTCCAAGGCAGGTCGAAAGAGTTCTCCGCTAGCCCCAGTGACTCTGCCACCTTCAAGCACTCCTGCCGACTCATCACCATCCTCCCCAGTCTCTCCGCGATGCTCCTCAGCTTCTCTTCGAATGCCAGCCACCGCACGGGCAGCTTCACCTTCATGGGCTTGCAATGCTTGAAGATGTAGCGTCGGATCCGCTCTGCCGTCTTCTTGTCCAGCTCGTCCGGTTTCAGAGCGTTCATCTCAAAGATCAACTTCTCTGGTGGTGTCCCCAGATCACCTGACTGGCAAACTTCTTTGGAATCAGCTTTTCAATCGTTTGTTCTTGTCTCCCACCGTTTCTGAGAGACACTTGTGCAGCTTGTCTCGATGGGTGCCAAGGAAGAGCAGCTTGAGGGGATCTCCCTTCGTTTTGGAGACAAACGTGTGCATGGTCCGCATGCTCAGCTTCAGGTTCTCTTCATTTGTCCGGGTGGACCGGTAGGGCTTGGACACGGCTCTTCCCCTTCGGTAGTAGCCGATGTTTGGGCGGTGGTCCAGTGGCTGGGAGAGATCGATGACCAGAATGCAGGCCGACGTCTGCCCTAGGAACACCGTCATGGCATCCACAAACTCGGGCTGGCCTCCGCTGTCCACGATGTACACACATGTTTCAGTGAAGACGGTCTCCAGGGAGTGGCTGGGGACGTTGATGAGGGATATGAACTCCTCCTCCACCTCGGATGACTCCAGCAGGGATTCCACCGTCACCTCTGGGGCCGTGTCAGACGACTGGTCACCACTGGCCGTGGCTGCCGTACTGGAGGCAGTGGCTGAGGCTTTGGTTTCTTCTGTGGCTGCTGGTGAGGATTTCTGGGGAGAGGCTGCCGACTCTGCTGCTTTGGGGGAGTTGTGTTTCTCTCTGACTACAGTTGGTGGCTGGGTGGCTGGCTGGCCTAGTTTCTGGGCACGGGCTCTCAGGATGCGGGCAATGTATTGCTTCTTCTCGTCTGCCGTCTTCTTCCTCCACCTCGCCTCCTTCCCTTCCACAAAGACCACCTCGGTTTGGACGGGTCTCTTCAGGAGTGGTGTGCTCTCTCGTTCTCCCTCTGCCAGTGGCTCCTCTCCAGTCAGTGTCTCTAGGGACGTTGACTTCCCGCTGCCTGCAGTACCCACCATTGTCACTTTTGTGATGAGTCGTTCTGTGATTCCACGTTTCATCTCCTCTTCATAGATCTTCTTGGCCTTGTTGCGACCTGTCAGAAGTAATATTATGCTATACTTAATAATTATGCTCAAACAATTATGCCTGAGAAGTGGATTCGACTAACAATTGGAAGGTCTCAGGTGTCAGAGAGGATGGAAAAGTGTGTCAGAGGTTTGCCAGGCGTCTATGCCACACGTGTGTTTCAATGATAGCTACTTGGCATATTATTAGGCACGGTTGCAAGTTTTTCCATATGGCTAGATGCACTGCGCTATGTGTGGTGGATGTTTTATGGTCATCTCTGCAGTCAATACGTAACTCACCTAAGCGTTAGAAAAATTGCAAAACTATACACAATTGAAGGTTTGCTAATGCAACATGCCCAATTTGTGGAAGCCTAAAAACTTTCAATAGCTGTTAAGATGATGAGACAGAACTTACCAGTGGGGAACATGGACTGGAGTCTGTCAAGAACATTGTGGAACTGCTGATCATCAAATGCAACACCACATATGTAGAGAGCATTTGAGACACGCTCCCATGTTGGGTGGGGATGTTGAGTGTGATATATTCTTATGATCTCATCTCTCCTCTCCTCATCACTAGTGAACTGAGACTCGATCTGGTCCAACTTGGACTGTGGGACATGCAGTCCACGACCAAACCCCTCCCACTTGTCAGCTGGCAGTGTGTCCAGTGCTGCTCTCATGTTGGAGGGAGTGAGGCTGGGATCTGAGAGTAAACAGACAGTTAACTATGATTGGAGAGTGAAACAAGCCTGTACCGTTCTCCATATGAATATCTTACGATGGTGATGATGATAATGGCATTGTTGCATATACACAATAATTCTAATTACGTGGATGCAGTGTGTGACTCTTTCGTTACCTCACAAAAAACGTATTGCCGTAAATCACTATATAAAATGTGTGTAGTGTTGAACAAGTCAGGCACAAATCAAGCTCTCTTCCACTCTCTGCTCTTGGTACAAATGGTTTCATGCATTCATCATCTTACTACAAACTCAAAAGTATTTACTTGGTGTGCATCATGCAATATAAGAAGAGAATTGCTTTCTGTTCAGTTGCCACAACAAATTGTGGTAGACATGTAACATTAAATGTGATGGGCTCATGCAAACAACTTCCAGTGTAGACAGGGAATCAAAATCACGGCAATTGAGTAGCAGAAACACAAAAACTCTGCAAAAGCAATTCAATTGACAGACTAGTGTTTCAAGGACACACGGCACCTAACACTGGTTAGAAAAAAGGCTTACGTTTTACAAACATGGTGGCTAAATGTAATACTATTCACAGGGCTCCAATTGTGCTACTCTGAATATTAAGTTAGTAACGAGCAAGCAGCAATGAGGAATAAAATTGAAACACCAACCACTCACCATATGTAGGTTGTAGATGTTGTCTGACTTCCTCCAGGGCTGTGTGCTCCTCCAGGAACCATAATACTCCAGCTATATCCTCCCATGATGCACCAGGTAGGGTCTGGAGGTAGTACTGTAGACCTGCAATCCTTTTCTCCTCTTCAGTTGGGTGTGATGGACTGGCCCTGATATCATCCATCACTGAGTAGGGGACATCAAGCACCTCCAGCAGCCCCCACTCATCAAGATCTCTCCTCCAGAACTGTCCCACAGAGGACACAGCAGGTAGCAGTGTGTGTGGAGTGAGACTGTCATCTGGTAGGGAGGAACACCACTTGTACATCACAACAGACAATGATAGCTATAGTAGATTAAACACCAGCCACTGAGAGGCTGCCACACATGTATATTATGGGGTTTTTCATTTATTCACGTGTGTTTACATGTATATAAGATTATTTTTGTTTGCGATTTATGAGAAGAAAATTGACCATGGTTCGAACTACAATTAGTTTATGTCTAGAGAGCTGTAACATTTAACGTAATTCTGAATAGCTCGCTAATAAAAAGTTGCATCTGTTCTTTACCAGTGAGAGGTTCAGCATAGGATCTTATGGAGTCAGCCATCTTGGTTTCTTCTATTCGATCTAGTGCCCAAATGAGTCTCCTCCTGCTTGCCAGTGGGTCGGTGTTAATCCAGTGAGAAATCAGCTGTTTCTTCTGCTCCATCTCATCTGGGAACTTCTGTCTAATCTCCTCTCTCTTTGACGGTGGTATGTAGAGATAGTATCCCAGTCCCCTCTCCCCCCACCAATTCCCCACCTCCCTCACTTCTCTCATCACATTGGAGGGAGTGAGAGGAACACCTGCAGCAACACACACCAGAGACAACAGTCAACACACTGGGTGTAGTAGAGAGTCCAGCTGTGTACAGTGGAACCTCTGAACAAGGGACACTATGGGGACAACGATTTTATCCTTTGTAGGGAGGTCGTCCCTATCTCGGAAGTCAAATATAGTATTAGCACATGGGATTTAAACAAATGTCCTTTGTAGAGAGGTCGTCCTTATCTCAGAGGGTCCCTTATCAGAGGTTTTACTACTGTATTACCTGTCAAGAAAGATGTTAGCCCAGCTATGGTATAACCCTTTGTAGTAGTGAGTGTCATTAGCCCTAGTATATATAACCCAGCTATGTACACTGTTTACATACTTAAGGCCCATATATATGCAGGTTGAGGGGTGACGTCTATTCAATGTGAGGAATGCTAATATGGGGGTCATACATAGACCCCATGGCACATTGATGCAAAGTGAGCAAAACCAGGAGTTGGCTGTATAGCTCCTGGACGTTATAAACTGCATTTATGTGTGCGCGCTTGAGTATGCATTTACTCGTGGTCTCCCGCTAGTAGCTCGCTGAGAGTCTGACACAGGCTAGGTACATTAGTAGATACACATTCGGGAGTCGATACATGTCCTTCGTTGTGACTTCTTGTGCATCCAAGGTACACAGAGTGAGAGGATCAGGTCGAGGTAAGCCAGAGCAATTACGCTTATTGGCTTTTTCGCTTTACATGGCACATCTCTCAAACACAGTCGTTTCAGGAAAATTGCTATTTTATTATTTTAGGATTGCGTAGTTTGGAAGCTGTTGGTATCACTCATTGGCCGCCTCATAGCCTGAAGTGCCAGAATAGCTGCAGACAGATAGACAGACAGACACACACACAGACCAAGTACTGTAAACCCTCGCTGCATGCTCATGCCGCTGATACTGTCTGCTGTCTTTTGAGTAGCAAGCCACACACATAAAAGAAGAAGGGTGACCACTCACTTCTCTTTCCTCTCCTGCTCCTGGAGCTTTCAGGACTCTTCCTTCTGCTCAGTGGCACATGTTTGGAGTCTGCAGAGATCATTACTGGCTGTTAGTGTGTTTGTGGCTTTATGTACGTTCTCAATAGATATTTTCTCATAAGTATCAGCTAAGCTCATATTTTCACGTGAGAATCAGGTAGCTTTCATCTTTGATCAACCATAGCTACTGTAGCTAGCTACACAGGTCGAGGCCAGGAATTATCGGTGGTGCAAGCTACTTACATCTCTCCCTCGTCTGGGACTATGAGGACCTCCTCCTTCCTGGTTTGACGTCCGCCATGTCTTGATTGCTGAGCTATACTCACTGGGACGAAGAAGACACCGAACAGCTCGTTGGCCCACGCCCAAAAAACGCGGAGCTACGCCCATTTTTCTGTACTCAAGATCACGTGATTAGAGCGCATGCGCTGCGAATGTCACAAACAGCACAGAAGAAGTTTACTATCAGAGGAGTCAGTTCTATGGTTGATGTACTTAGTGAAGGAGATGGTGTCCTGGTCACAGAACACCTGAGAGAGAGAATTCCCTAATAGGACACTGACAGCAGCTGTGAGAAGAAAAAACAGCAACTGCACTGAATCTGGCAGTAGTTTACCTATAAACTGGTGATACTG